CACTCTCACTCTCATACTCTCACACACTCACACTCACGCTCTCTCATACACTCACTCACTCTCTCTCTCATACACACACACACTCACTCACTCACACACAGACTCACATACTCACTCACACACTCATACTCACACACACAGACTCACTCACTCACACACAGACTCACTCACTCACACACACACACACAGACTCACACACTCACACACTCACTCACTCACACACAAACATGGTCACATCATCAGTAGTCTTACAGCTGGCATTGCTAGTGTTAGTGCTGGGTAAGTATGCAGCGTAGACCGAAGCAGTGAGAGGAAAAGCACTGAGATATACTCACAACTGCATGCAATATTAAGTTTATTAATATTGATTACAGATGGAGAGAAATGTCTGTTTGGGAGCTTTTTTAACGTCCTGTATTTTAGATCGTATGATAACTTTTCTATAATAAATTATACTCAGCGTGCTAATGCACGAAGAGACTGTTCGATGTGGGTGTTCTGTTCTTGAATGGGACAAGGCCTTTTTTTTTTGGGGGGTAGTGAACGGGGTGTAAATGTGTTGGTTAAATGTGCTCATTTGTGTTAAATGTAACTGTACACGATGCACTCGGATGGTGGTGGAAGTTGGCATAGGGTTTTTTTAAAAACAGTTTTTCTTGTCAGTATTATTTTTTATTATTTTTTAAATTAGTTTGTGCTCAAACCAACTTACTAACTCTCTTTATTGCACTATTTTCCTGAAAGAGACCAATTCTTCTTAAAACAGGCGCGGAAGAAGGCCTCTGAGAAAGCTCTGCGGTGTCGGAGCGGATCAGAGGAGCAGCTGGAGACGTCAGATAAAGACATGGAGGAGCGGCGGCGTCGGAAAGACAAGAAGTCCTCCAGACCAAGAAGCCTGTCACGATCACGCTCGAGGGAAAGGTATTTCCCTTTGATTCGTTTGAATCAGTCTGTGTCATATTACTTAACTCTATAATAGGATGTAACGATTCACTCAACTCACGATGCGATACAACATTTTTTTGAGATTTAAGACAAATTATAAATGAAATGGTGTCCTTTTATTATTTCTCAGACAAAATGCTGCACATTTCTTTGAGACATTGAAATATGTCAAATAACAAAACTACACTGAACTTTAAAAACAACCCCTAAATCAAATAAATAAATACAAATAAATCTCTTCAAATAAACAAACTAAGGCTTTGCCTGTGCTCTTTTTATTTACAGTTAGAGGCAAGCACCGTATTTTAATCGTGATCCAAACAAAGACGTTGCATAAATACAGCACAAGTAGTTTTTAATCAAAATTAGATGATCATTTTGAAACTTGTAGCACTTATTTGTATCAATTTTCAACCGGCTCTGGTGCATCGTTACATCCCCACTACATAAATATAAACACAAACCCATACAGGGATATTTGTCTTTCATAACTTGAATTACAGTGGCTTTCTAATCAGCTTCGGCACACATAGAGACTTTTGGACTTTCAGGACGGGTTTTTGTTTAGTTTTTGCAAAGCGAGTGACGCTCGATAATGTCAGCTTGCTTAATCGTTAAAATAAAGCAATAAGCTCCGAGAAGCCGTGGTTTACAGTGAATTATAACAGCTACGGGGCGTTGTTAGGCACGAGCTGTTATGAATTCACTGTAAACCACGGCTTCACGGGGGTTACTGCTTTTATAAAACGGTTATTCCATATACATAGCAAGGTTTCACAAAATAACACAGAGCAAATAAAGTGTAATGATATTAATAAACACAGTATTCTTCCACCAAACAATGTAGCTCCTCAGAAACAGTTGTGGTTGCTACAAAGTGGTTGCCGAGCAACACACAAACGTAAACAAAGGTGTGTGTTACTTTGTAGCGTCATTTACAACAGCTTCGAACGCGGCTCAGCCAATCAGAATCAAGCACCGGAACTCTCCACTTTATAAATATTTTCGGTATCGATATTTATGGATGGTACATCTTCTTCGATAACGATATAAAAAATGTTCGATATAGCGCACGAGGCACGTGCTCTGAGTGACGCAGACAGCACACACAAACATGAGTGCTGTGCCAGTGACGAGGAGATTGTGAATACAGAAAATCAATATTAGTCGAATTTAAAATAAACACTTGCATTTGAATGCAAAAATAGTACAATCCAATGTTAGGTGTGCATCAGCGTCATCAGTGGAGCGCGAGATGCGGTGGTTATGATGTAAGTGACGTTGTAGTTTAATGTTTTGTTAGTCTAGCCCACGAGACGCGCCGCTGCTGCGTTATTCATTCAAAATATTAGAGAATTATAGAAGCTCAGTGCGGAGAAGATCTTGAATGGGTTAAAACCCAAACCAAACCATTCACACTGAACGCATATTCAGCGCATTTTTTAGACGGACAAATATGACTGCTGCTCTCGCGTCTCACACAAGAGATGCAGCCATGCACAGTTAAAACAGTTTAAACTTAGAAAACACTTCGCGAATTTGTGGAGGTTTATTTCTTTTCACTGCGTCTCGTATGTTTTTATATGCAGTCTGTGTGATCGGTGCTTCGGCTCGAATGCATAAATACGTGATGCTGTTTTGTTCATAATTGTTTATGCAATTTACGAAATTATATTTGATTTATATGATTTAATGTAGATGTAATGCACGTGTTTTTTTTATAGACTTATTTCCTTGCGTTGACATTTTAATGTGCTGCATTATTTTGCTCATTGTGCCCTCCTGTGGCCTCGGGAGACACGACAAAAGTTTACTTAACACCCGTTTAATCTGCATATAAAACATTAGATGTTACATATTTGTTTAATTTTTATTGTGTGTTTGACTGTTAAAACAAAAATATTTGTTGTTTGTCTCAATAAATTGGGTTAATTTAAAAATACACTGGTTAAATTTAAACCTTTTTTTCTATTGCTCTTTGTTTTAAAAATTTCTGGATTTTTTTTTCTCATTTTGTCTCTCATAGTTGAGGTATACCTATGATGAAAATTACAGGCCTCTCTCATCTTTTTAAGCGGGAGAACTTGCACAATTGGTGGCTGACTAAATACTTTTTTTCCCCACTGTATATCGCCCAGCCCTAGCTCAACCAATCAGAATCAAGGACCGGAGCTGTCTGTTTTATAACAACAATTATGATATTATCGCAGACGATAATCACACAAGCCAAGTTTCAATGTTATTATATCCAGGGCTGTGATTTGGACCGCAGCAAATCCACCCGCTGTGAAAACCACCTAAAGCATCCGACTAGTCGATGAGAAGCCTTGTAGTTTTCACCTTCACTGAATATGTTCTCCTCTCACTCTTAGGTTGGAGAGAGCAAAGAAGCTTCAAGAACAGAAAGAAAAAGAGTTGTTGGAAAAACGGCAACAACAAGAGATAGCAGCAGGTAAGTAACTGGCACAGATCATCTGAGCTCAGCGCTACATCTCTCTGATATATGGCTGGTTTCCCAACAGAAGCAGCTCCACTCTTGTGCGATACGGCTGCGGCAGCACCCAGTCCTGGCCTGAACGTTGCAGCGCTGCTCGCGTCCGGCACACAGGTCACTCATTCAAAATATTAGAGAAATATAGAAGCTCAATGCGGAGAAGATCTTGATTGGGTTAAAAAACGAAACCAAGCCATTCACACAGAACACATCTCACACAAGAGATGTATAGAAAGCCATGCAAAGTTAAAACGGTTAAAACTTTTAGAAAACACGTCACGAATTTGTGGAGGTTTATTCCTTTTCACTGCGTCTGATATGTTTTTGAAGGCAATCTGTGTGATGGGCGAATTGGCTCTGTGGATTAAGCAATGCATAAATACGTGATGCTGTTTTGTTCATAAATTGTTTATGCAATTTACGAAATTATATTTGATTTATATGATTTAATGTAGATGTAATGCACGTGTTTTTTTTATAGACTTATTTCCTTGCGTTGACATTTTAATGCGCTGCATTATTTTGCTCATTGTGCCCTCCTGTGGCCTCGGGAGACACGACAAAAGTTTACTTAACACCCGTTTAATCTGCATATAAAACATTAGAAGTTACATATTTGTTTAATTTTTATTGTGTGTTTGACTGTTAAAACAAAAATATTTGTTGTTTGTCTCAATAAATTGGGTTAATTTAAAAATACACTGGTTAAATTTAAACCTTTTTTTCTATTGCTCTTTGTTTTAAAAAGGTTATAAAAATGTCAATAATTATCGATACCGAACGATATGAAACATTATATCGTTGATACATTTTTTAGCTATATCGCCCAGCCCTAGCTCAACCAGTCAGAATCAAGGACCGGAGCTGTCCGTTTTATAACAACAATTATGATATTATCGCAGACGATATCACACAAGCCAAGTTTCAATGTTATTATATCCAGGGCTGTGATTTGGACCGCAGCAAAACCACCCACTGAAAACCACCTAAAGCATCCGACTAGTCGATGAGAAGCCTTGTAGTTTTCACCTTCACTGAATATGTTCTCCTCTCACTCTTAGGTTGGAGAGAGCAAAGAAGCTTCAAGAACAGAAAGAAAAAGAGTTGTTGGAAAAACGGCAACAACAAGAGATAGCAGCAGGTAAGTAACTGGCACAGATCATCTGAGCTCAGCGCTACATCTCTCTGATATATGGCTGGTTTCCCAACAGAAGCAGCTCCACTCTTGTGCGATACGGCTGCGGCAGCACCCAGTCCTGGCCTGAACGTTGCAGCGCTGCTCGCGTCCGGCACACAGGTCACTCCTCAGATCGCAATGGCCGCTCAGATGGCGGCGCTTCAGGCCAAAACGCTGGCAGAGACGGGCATTGCTGTGCCAAGCTACTACAATCCCTCAGCGGTGAACCCAATGAAGTTTGCAGAGCAGGAGAAGAAGAGGAAAATGTTGTGGCAGGGGAAAAAAGAAGGGGTGAGGACTAGCAAGTCACTGATAATGTAATTAATATATGTTTGGATTAATTGTTCTTGAGTCTATAGCAGCCCATAGAACAGTTTATGGGAACATTATGAAATTTGGCAGACTGATAGAGGATAGTCTGAACATTAACCAAAGCAAATCCTCTAGCGCCACCGACAGCTCAGCTGTGCATTTGTGTTTATTCAAAACGTGACACAAGCTAAACATGTTTCCCGATCACTTCTGGGCTCGTTCTGAGTTGGAAGCAACCCGTGACCAATTTTGCATCTTTTTACGCCATAAACAAAATTCTGGTCAAAATCCTGTGAACCCATCCTAGACGATTCATGCCATTTTGACCAAAACTGGCTCGGATCGTCTTCAGAACAAGCTTTTTGATAGACCACACTGTTTTTATAACTTTTGCACAGTCTGACCAAAAATCATAACACCAGAAAATTCATCTTTAGTGCTCATTTTGCCATTGATAAGTGATTTGCTTTTGCATAGAACTAGTTGCCTCTCATTCTAGTAACGGTGCTTTTGACATCCTTAAAATCTTAAGTGTGTTTTAAGATGTTCAGCATTAATATATGTGTTTGTGTTGTAGGACAAGTCACAAACAGCTGAGCTTTGGGAGAAGCTGAGTTTTGGTAATAAAGACCAAAATGTGAAATTTCGCAAACTTATGGGCATCAAAGTAAGAGTTCTCCTTTTCTACTTTTCATTC